AAAAGAAGATATGCATTTGGGAAGTACCTTAAGCATTATATAAAATTGTGTTATTTAAAATGGAAGATATTTTACTGTTATATTTATTTTAAATTTACTGAAATATAAAGTTTAATTGAACAATAGTAATGGACACCTAACTTGTGATCTGAAACTAATGTATTTATTAAAAATTAAATGCTCTACAGCTTCAAAGTAACAAATATCTTCATATTTTGATTTTATAATATTATGTACAATTCCATGCAAACAAATTAGTTTTAAATGCTATAACATAAACATTCTTTAGTTCTACTTTTCTTATAAATAAAAGCGAAAAGTATAAAATTATTTTAAATATACAAATATTTTTATGCATCGAGGTAAAAACAAATTTCCTGCTATAAAATAAATTTTTACCTTAATCAATAGTTCTTATAATAATCTTCGTATAACTTTTTTTTACGTTTAATTTCTTTGATTATCAATTTCTTTTAAATATGTAAAAAATAAACGTAAGTAGTATGCAATTTTATGACAAATTAGATAAAATATATACTTACCACATGAAGGTAAGTAAGCAATTAATATAGATACGTTTTATAAACTTTCAATTTTTTCAAAAGTTCATCACGCTTCATTCGGAATCACTGTCAACAACGCATAAAACTCTTTTAAATGAATAACGTGTTTCACGAAGTTTCGTAGGCGTTTCTGGTATTTTTGCTGATTCTTTACTAGAATCCTTATTTCTTTGAGCACGTGTAACACGTCCTGAAATTAATTATTCTTAATATATTTACGATTTGTAACAAACTTTATAATATTACAAACCTTCTGATATAATATTGCTTGTATTTAATTCTGCAATATCTTTGAGCGTTTCGTTTCTTTTCCTAGCTTTTTTACATTTTTCTATAGTGGGCCTGCCATTAACTCCATGTTTTGCTAATAATTCTTTGAGGCACTTTACTTTTGCAATATTCGATTTACAACCAGCCCAAAGATCATTATAAGATTTCACATATATTCCAGCCATTCTAATATATTTTTTTAACGATTGTATTTTTTTATCACCTTCGGATTTCTGAAACGGCAAAAAATAAAATAGCAAAAACGTACACTTATAAAAAAAAAATATGATATTCAATACTAGAGTATTATTAAACTTACTGTACTTCTCTTATTCTTTCCATCTTTACTGTCACTTTCATCTTCACTCTTGCTTCTTATTGATTCTGTATCAGATGTATTTTCTTCTGTGTTTACATCTTCTGCAACATTGGAATTTTCATCTTCCTCATCTTTTTCTTCAATTAATTTTTTAACTACCTTCTTTGCCCTACTATGCCCTTTTTTTGATTCTGTAGATTTTTTGTTTGCTATTGCTTTTTTAAGTTTCCTCTTAGTTCGTGGACTATAATCTTCATCAGAAGCACTATCACTATTTTCTTCAGAATCAGTACCTTTTGTTTTACTAAAAGATGTTCTTCCTCTTTTTTTCCCTTTCTTTGCAGCTTGCTTAGACGTGACTTCAGATGCATCCTGTGAATCTGACTTTTCTGCTTCAGAAGAACTGACATCAAGTTCTGAATCATTAGGCTTTGCTTTGACAATTATAGTTTTTGGTTTGGGCTTTTTATCTTTTTCATCTTCACTTTCAGAAGTACTTGAAGACTCTTTATCACTGGCACACTCTACTGAAAGTTCTAAACCTTCTACAACTTCAGCATCCTCAATTTGTGATTTTCTATGTTCTTTTTTTTTCTTAATATTATTTTCTTCCTCTCCTTCACTTTCTTCCTTTATTGCTGTATCTTCTATACTAGCATTCGTAGAATTGTTTTCCTTTTACATAATAGAAAGCAAATAAACGTAGGGCCATTAAAACACAATATTCTAAATTGTAATATATATTTATATTAGTT